TAGTAGTAGTAGTAGTAGTAGTAGTAGTAGTAGTAGTCGTCGTAGTAGTAGTAGTAGTAGTAGTAGTAGTAGTAGTAGTAGTAGTAGTAGTAGTAGTAAAAGTAGTAGTAGTAGTAGTAGTTGTAATCGTAATAGTACTAGTAATAGTACTTCTACTAATCATAGGAATACGAATAGTCATTGTAACTGTAATAGGAATCGTAATAGAAGTAGTAACAGTAGTAGGAATAGTAATAATCATAGTAGTAATCGTAGTAGTAGTAGTAGTAGTAGTAGTAGTAGTAGTAGTAGTAGTAGTAGTAGTCGAAGTAGTAGTAGTAGTAGTAGTAGTAGTAGTAGTTTAGTAGTAGTAGTAGTAGCAGTAGCAGTAGCAGTAGCAGTAGTAGTAGTAGTAGTAGAAGAAGAAGTAACTAGTAGTAGTAGTAGTAGTAGTAGTAGTAGTAGTAGTAGTACCACTCGTAAGAATTTGCAGTAGGATGACGGTGCTGCGTCGGACGATTCAAAGGAGTGTCAAGCTGATGGCGGTGATGATGACGATGACGACGACGATGACGACGACGACGCTGATTCTGCTGAGGATGATAATGATGCTGATGCTGGTGCTGATGATGATGCCATTGCTGCTGACGGTGATGGGGACGATGATGCTGATGAGGATGATGATGCTGCTGATGATGATGATGATTGTGTTGTTGTTGATAATGACGATGGCGACGATGCGGACGACGACGATGATGCTGACGACGATGATGATGGTGATGATGAGGAGGATGATGATGATTATGCTGCTGATGATGACGATGATGGTGCTGATGATAATGATTGAGATCATGATGATGATGATGCTGCCGATGATGATGATAATGATGATAACGATGATGTTGCTGATGATGCTGCTGCTGACCATGCTGACAATGAGGACGCCGACGATGCTGATGATGGGGTTGACGATGGCGACGAATATGTTGATGGTCATGATGATGCTGATGATGATGATTCTGATGATGATGATGATGATGATGATGATGATGATGATGATGATGATGCGGATGCTGATGCTGATGCTGATGACGACGATGATGATGATGCTGCTGCTGATGAGGATGAGGATGCTGATGATGATGCTGCTGATGATGATCATGATGCTGATGATGCGTACGAGTCGCAAGATAATGGTGACGCTGATGATTGTGCTGATGTTGTTGATGATGGTCTGATTATGAGGCTGATGCTGATGCTGGTGCTGATCTTGATTCACATGCTGATGATGCTCATCATGATGCTGCTTCTGATGATGACGCCGATGATGTTGCCGCTGCAGGTGATGATGATGCTGATGATGATGAGGATGATGATTATGATGATGCTGATGATGATGAGGATGATGATGCTGATGCTGATGACGATGAAATGATGACGATTACGATGACCACACCACGACCATGATGATGATGCTGATGCTGATGCTCATGATGATGATTATTATGATGATGTTGCTGATGACGATGATGATGATGACGATGATGATGATGATGGTGATGATGATGATGCTGGTGATGATGCTGATGCTGATGCTGATGATGATCATGATGATGCTGATGATGGTGAGGGCGATGATGGGGATAGCGATGATGATGCCAATTATGATGGCTATGATGCTGATGCTGCTGCAGATGATGATTCTGCTGATGATGATGCTGCTGATGCTGATGCTGCTGATGATGATGATGATGATGATGATGATGATGATGATGATGATGATGATGATGATGATGATGATGATGATGATGATGATGATGATGATGATGATGATGATGATGATGATGATGATGATGATGATGATGATGATGATGATGATGATGATGCTGATGATGATGATGCTGATGCTGTTGCTGATGATGATCATGATGATGCTGATGATGGTGAGGGCGATGATGAGGATAGCGATGATGATGCAATGATGATGGCTATGATGCTGATGCTGCTGCAGATGATGATTCTGCTGATGATGATGCTGCTGATGCTGATGCTGCTGATGATGATGATGATGATGATGATGCTGATGCTGATGCTGATGCTGATGCTGCTGCTGCTGCTGCTGATGATGATGATGATGATGATGATGATGATGATGATGTGATGATGATGATGATGATGATGATGATGATGATGATGATGAGAGGAGGAGGAGGAGGAGGAGGAGGAGGAGGAGGAGGAGGAGGAGGAGGAGGAGGAGGAGGATGACGACGACGACGACGAGGACAGCGACGACGACGACGGCGACGACGACGAGGGGTCTTCCCCATGCAGGCGAGCCCGTTAGGCGAAGGGTAGCGGGTAGAGGCACAGTGTGAGCATCCCCCAGCGTTGGGCCCCGTTGGCGCTCCCCGCTCCACGCCGCGGCGCGGACCTCGGCTGCTGCCGCTGCCGCCGACGTCGCTCCCGTGCCGAGGGCGGCGCGGACGCCCGCGGCGGCGGCGGCGGCGGCGGCCCTCCAGGCTGGCCTGTGGCCCCCGCTGCCGGCGCCCACCATGCCGAGCGGCGCCCTCGGCGCCGTGGTCTCCCGGACGACCACCGTGCTCTCGGCGCCCGGGGCCGCCGCGCCCGGGCGTGCCGCCGTGGGCGCGGCGGGCGCCGGCGAGGCGCCGGCAGCCTCCGTGGGCTCCGCGCGGGCCCGCGCGGGCCGACTCGTCAAGCAGTGGCGGAGCGTCCTGGCTCGCCTACAGCCCCACCAAGCAATGTTCTAAGAACCTTTCGTGGTTCCCACGAAACGCGTTCTTAGAACATTTCTGGCGGAGTCTGTCTTGTTTTAGCACTTCGGGCTTATGTTCTAAGAACATTATTTTTGTTCTTAGAACATTTCCGGGTTCTAAGAACATGTCGTGGAGGTGCACCACGCGCACGGGTTCTCAGGGTTCGGGGGTGGACAGACCTCCTACCCTGACACGTCGATTAGTAAATTGGCCGTTTTCGGTTCGCGAGGGGGCGTCGCGGCCGTCGTTTTTCCGGGTCCAGGTCCGTCGGTTTCGGTCCCAGGCAGTTTTCACTAAGGGGAGATTTGCTAAAAAGGGAGGTTTGTCCACCGCCGAAGGGTTGGGTTTTTTGCGAGGGTTTCTTGCGGCCGCGCCCGCGCTGTGCTCTCTGGCCCCGGGCGGCCCTCGCCGGGCTCCAAGGCCCCGCCGAAGAGGGTGCAGAGCGGGTCTTACCAGTTTGAAACATATCCCTATCCCTATGTTTGACATCACCTCACCTCGATGCCGATCTTAAGGACTCCCTCAGTTTTTGAGGGCCTATCCCTAAGATTGTCCTCGCTTTTTGCTCGCCCATCTTAGGGATAGGGATACGTTTGAGGCTGGTTAGGGTCGTGGAGGCCTCTAGGGGTCCACGCTGCGAAAAAGGCACGGCGTCGGGGGCCCATGGGTCCAGGCTGGCTCGGTCCGAGGCGGTTCTCTGGCATTCCGACGGCGCGGAGCGGCGCGGTTTCTCATGGCGCCGTGGTGCACTTTAGGTGCGGCCGTTCCGCTCCGATCGGCGCGCAGTGCAGTCCGATGCGGCGCGCATTCTGGCCCGATCCGGTTTCCCGATTCGATTTCGGCCGATCCCGCGTCCTCGGCCCGTGTCTCAGCGGCGCCGCCCAGCAGATGGGGCCGGAGCAGATGGCGTCGGAGCATCGCGCCGCATCGCCGATGCGTCGCCGATGCGGCTCGATGTGGGGCCCGATTGGCTTCACGTCGATGTCGCCGACGCATCGCCGACGTCGACGCTGCGATGCGGCGCGATCCCCCGCCGACGTCGACGATGCGATGCGGCGCGATCCTGCGACCCCGTCTACTCCTCCTCCTCCTCCTCCTCCTCCTCCTCCTCCTCCTCCTGTCTACTCCGAGCCCATCTGGGAGGCCTCCAGTCTCGGCGGCGCCGCCCGCCTCTGCCCCGGGATGCCCGGGGCCTCGGCTCGAGCCGTCAGGCAGTGCAGTGCACCTCTGCTCATCGGGAAGGGAAAGGCCCGCATCCAAAGAGCGCGACGAAGACGTGGCCTTGCTCAGGTCCCCGTCTTCGCATTCGGGATCATCGGTCTTGGCGGTCAGGGTCCGCTACATCTGCAGAAGTGACCCCCGATCCCCATTTATTATTCTATATCTATTTATATTTTTATATATGAAATTATTCATCGTATTATTTTGTTGTGTGTTATCTTGTTTTCGCCTCTTAACTTGTGTCTCCTCGCAAAGGGTTTTTGTTGTTGGGGCCTCCTCTTAACTTGGGTCTCTCTTGGTTTCTCCTCTTATCTTGGGCCTGCTCCTCTCAACTTGGGCCTCCTCTTCTGTGCGTCTCCTCCTGCTTCCTCCTCTGGGGGCCTCTCTTGACTTGCGTTCTTTTTTTGGGGGGGTTGGCCCTCTCCGGCCCTCCCTGGGCCTCGGGGCTCGGCTCCGAGGCGGGAATTTTTCCACATCCACCGCCTGGAGGGCCAGTTTTCGGAGCCTCGGCAGGCGGTGGATGGACATATTCGGATCCCGGGGGCCCCCTGTACAAGGCGTTCCTTTGCAAGCACATCGTCTTCGGCACCGCCTGATTCCGGGGCTTTGCCCCCTCCTGGCATTGACGTGAGGCCTTTCCTTCTGCCTCCCCCCCTTTGCGAATTAAAGCTGTGCGCGGCCCGCTTAGCTTCGACCGGAAGAGGTGCGCTCTCGACCCGCGGATCAAACAAATATCCCAGTGCGACCCTACCTAGGAGTTGGAGCCTCTAGGAAAACAACATTAGTAGGAGCGGTAATACGTCGGGTTTCATGTCTCCCGGCCGGTGCTATGTGCCAAACCTTCGTGAATCCTAAGGGCTCAAGCTGCCCCACTAAGGGCTCAAGATGGCCCACAGACGGACAATATGCATGGAACATACGTGCGCACACATATAAGTACATATTTATGCAGCAGCAATAGTGGATGATGTGCTGTGCTGCGCTATGCTATGCCATGCTCTGCTCTGCTCTGCTCTGCTATGCTATGCTATGCTGCGCAATGCTACGCTGGGCTAGACTAGGCTAGGCTAGGCTATGCTATGCTAGGCTAGGCTATGCTATGCTGCGCTATGCTATGCTGCGCTATGCTATGCTATGCTATGCTATGCTATGCTATGCTATGCTATGCCATGCTATGCTATGCTTTTGCTTTGCCTTCGCTTTTGCCTTCACTGTTGCCTTTGCTTTTGCTTTTGCTTGGCACCCAGGGAGCGCAACTGGGGGAACTGCGCGTTTGCTTTTACCTTTGCTGTTGCTTTTGCTTGGCTCCCAGGGGACTGCGGGGACCGCCCGGGGCGATTTCCACTGCCGGGCCCCTTTAAGCCAACAGAGTAAGAACCCGTCTAGGCAGAGCCTAGGTAGGGAAATATATATCCATATCCACCGCCCGCGCACCTCCCGAAGGCCCCCGTCGCTCAAATTCGATCCACGGACCCTTCCCAGGCACCATCCTGGCTGGTCCGGTGCCCAGCCGCTGCGACGAGAAGCGCACCCGAAGGCAACAAACAGAACAGACGAGCTGGGGCCCCAGAGACTCGGCCAGCGGCATAGGCAGGACGTCGGCTCCCGGGCGGTGGATAGGGACCAATCCCCGCCTCGGGGCTTCTGAGGCGCCGGCTCGAGGCCCCGCCGCCCCCCCTCTCGGGCCCCGGCGCCGCCGGGGGGGGCGGGCCGCGGTGGGCGGCTCTGCTCGGCGTCCCCCCGGGCGCCGCCCCTCGGCCCCTTTAGGCCGCCCCCGTGGCAGCAACGTCCAGGGCGGGAGCCCGGGCTTGGCGTCCGTCGGGCTCGTGCCTCTACCTCGGGAGCGGAAAAGAGGGGGGTGATGACTAGGGGGGGGGTGGATTTCATGGCGCGGGCCATGCTTTTTCCTCAGATTTCATGGCGCCTCTTCTTACTTCATTACGTCCCAGGCCCCCCCGCTGGGCCGCGCACATGCCGCCGGTCATGATTTGCACCCCCCCCTCTTGGACACCCCCCTCTTGGCCGCTCCCGACTACAGGAGGAAAGTAAAAAAATAGTCCACAAGTAGTCCGGGGACCGGGGGCTATTTTTTGAGTATTTGTTTAAACCCCTGTGGGAGTGTATTTTTTGGGGTACGTTTTATTTCTCGTCGAGAATCCCCCTGTATGGGGGACACGCCCGACTTAGGCCCAGGCCCCCTCTCAGAGCGCCCTCGGGCAAGGAGACAAACATCGCGACGGGAGGTGCTGCCCGATGTTCGGCCTCCCGGGGGCCTCGGGGCCGTCAAAGAAGGACTCAGGACGAGAAGCTGGTCTTGGGGGATGGGTCGAGGACTCTGGGGATCGACGTCGTGAAACAATCATGCCGTCGGGGGTCTGGGCTCGTTTGTTAGCAAATCATGGGAGCCTGGTGTGCCCTCTTAATTCCGTCTTTGGCGTCGATTGGCGTCGATTTAGCGTCTGGGAGTGGACGAGATTGCGCCGATTTGGCGTCGGTTAGCGTCGACTAGCGTCGATTTGGCGTCGATTGAGCGTCGATTCGCGTCAACGAGCGTCGATCAGCGTCGATTCGCAAGAGCCGGACAAGATGGTATGGGAGGCTTCCATGAGTTGCCACCGAACCCTCGGGTCAGGGAGGAGAGTCTTGACGGAAGGGTTTTTCGTGATTTGCGGCCGCCGTGGGGCCCTGTACCAGGCCTCGGCCGACCGTCAACAAAACGACTCAGGATGAGAAGATGCCCCCCGGGATAATGACTCAGGATGAGAATGATTCAGGATGAGGATGACTCAGGATGAGGACAAAAGGACTCAGGATGAGAATGGCTCAGGATGAGAAAACTCTCCCCCTTCAGTGCTCGGGCGGGGGGGGGTCCCCCCCTTTTGGGACCACCCCCCCGGCGGTTGCTGAGCGATTTTTTGTTGAGTATCGCCTTTCAGAACTCTGGGGGTCGACGTCGTGAAAAAGTCATGACGCCGGGGGTCTGGGTGATGAGGTTGGGAGAACTGGGGATGTCATCACCCGCAGGCGGTCGAGGGTGTCGTTCACTGCATCCATTTGCTTCTGCTCATGCCCTTCATCCTCCCAGCCCTTTCCGCCCAACGCGCTTCTCGTTCTCCTCACCCCTGCGCCGGGCGGGGCCGTGCGGGAGGAGCGCACGCAGATGCGGGATCGCAGATGCGGAGGGGAACAAATCATGACGTCGGGGGTCTGGGAAGTCGGCGCCCGTGGGCGCCGCCCAGCCTCGGGGCCGTTCCGCAAGCATCCTAAGGGGGGGGAGGAGATCCGCCCTGGGGAAAGGAAGGGGTCGAGATCCCCGCTGCATGGGGCCTGCGTCACGAGCCTGGATGCGACGTCGGGGGAGAGGGTCCCCCCATGCCCAGAGCCCCTCGGGTCATGGGAAAATCGTGACGGAAGGTTTTCTTGTTTGTTTCCGGCCTTGGGGGGCCCTTCCTGGGCCTCGGGGCTGTCAAAAAGCGACTCGGGATGAGCAACGGGTCCCGGGGAATGAGTCGAGATTTTTGGGGGGGTCGACGTTATGAAAAAAACATGATGTCAGGGGTCTGGGTGGCATGGTGCTTTCTGTCCGAGCGGCCCCCAGAGGCCAGCTCTCGGCCCGATCCGGCCCGTCGATGCGTCGAGGACCTGCCCTGTCCTGCGCCCCCGCCCACACCCGGGGACC